ATTGTTTTTTGAATTGAGGGACGACATGCTCTACCCACATACCGCGTTATTTTGCTTTACCGTTCGACGGAAAAAGCAATTTTTTTTTGAATTGAAATTTTGATAAACCTCTTCCTTCACGTCATCTTCATCGCTGGTCTCTTCGGCGCTCATGCGCTCTTCGTCGTCTGAGCTGAGAGAGCCCTGGTCATCACTAAAATGAAGCATAAGCAACTACGCTACAGCAATAAAATGTCAAAAGTAAATGTAAGTGGAGAGCAGAGCACGTTGTATTCTGGGTACTCTGGGGAATCCCCAGCGAGGGGTCGTGCTCGGTCGCTGGAGGGGAGGGTCGCATTTGTCGTCCAAGGGAGCGAAGGTCATGTTTGGCCCGAGAAAAACCTTTAATAAGTTTCTCGCGCGCTATCCATGATGCTGAGACTCCCATTTAGATGGAGGTCCCTTCAAGAGGAAAGGAGGAGGGGAGGGGGTTAGCCTTCGAGAGGTTTTAAGAAAGAATAGTCCATTGTTGACTTTTCCCGTTTCCTAAGGGCTACTGATGAGAGAGAAAGATGGTAGATAGGATAAAGAATGGGGTAAGGGAAGTCGCATTAGAGGAATGGTCATGGGTGGGGAGAGGGTCGCATTTTGCAAAAATATCTCTCAGCGGCAGTTACTCACCCCCTAGTGCCCTGATTTTCTAATTTGAGCTCGATTTTTCGATGCTATTTATCACAAGGAATAGCTGTAGCCAGGAATTTGTCTCTGGCGGCAATTTGACCCTAGGCAGCGTTCATACTTCGCGACAGCAGCGGCGATCGCCGCGATCGTCGGTATGGCAGAGCGCGCCCCAACGCTATTACTTGCGCTCCGAAGGCTTTTGGGAAGAAGCGACTCAATTTCATGCTTTTTTTCCTTTAACTGCAATTTTCTTAGGTACTGAAGCTTGACACAAAGAAAGGTGAACCCATCTAAACGCTTTTGTTTTCAACTGATATTGTTGATGACTGCGGTTAACGGCGCAAGTAGCGATATCGAAAAGCTATCACAAGAATGCTGAGTTATGGGCAAAAGTCGGACACGGACGGGATTCGAACCCGCATCTTCTGCTTACCGGGCAGTTGCGTTCCCTATTACGCTACCGAGGCCACTTTTACCTTCAGCTCAATGGCTATTTGTGCCATAGCCTGACAGCACTCACACGTTCTACGTGATGAGCCGGTTAGGTATCGGCAGTGGCAGTGGTTTGCCCATAACTCAGCATTCTTGTGATAGCTTTCGATCGCGTACTGCGGCGTTAAACAGCAGTTAACAAACAATATCAGCTTGAAACTTGTAAAAAGCCTTCAGCCTTGCGGTTCACTGCCGATATCGGCTAACCGGCTCATCACGTTGAACGTGTGAGTGCTGTAAGGCTATGGCACAAATAGCCATTGAGCTGAGTGGTCAAAAGTGGCCTCGGTAGCGTAATAGGGAACGCAACTGCCCGGTAAGCAGAAGATGCGGGTTCGAATCCCGTCCGTGGTCCGACTTTTGCCATAACTCAGCACTTGTGATAGCTTTGTTTCTACTTTCTTTCTTGATTCCAGGATAGAACATGATAAAAGAGTGGAGAGCTTCATTTAGGTAGGTTTTTATTGTTTCTTTTTTCATTCGTCGAGCTTATACATGAGGTTATAAAGTTTTCACCTGTTGATGTTGCGTAAAATGATTAGTGTTTTGATTCCTAGTGGAGTTTCTTTCTGCTTTTCTTTTTCTTCGTTGTTTGAATTCGACTTGTAAACTATAAATCGTTATTCAAGTGGAAACAGTCCACGACGATAGTAACACTTTTGAGGTGCTTGCACCAATTGAAAATAAACACGAAAAGAAACAAAAACACTCACCCAGGAGATGGGGTTGGCCTTATCCCGACCGTAAAAGGAGTGAAACCTCCTTACCTCCTGTTCCAGACCCGCTTATGTATAGAAAATCGTAAGTTATCAGTTAGTAGCCATTATTAAGAGAAAAGAAGGTCTCTTATCGCATTTCTTATTTATCAAGCGACGGTCTCGGTAATAAGCGTTGGGGCGCGCTCTGCCACGTACCGACGATCGCGGCGATCGCCGAGGTCGCAGAGGTTGCCGCGATCGCCGCTGCTGCCGCGATGTATGAACGCTGCCTTGAATGAAACGAGGATTCCTCTCTGAAAACCATCTCAGGACAAATGCCAAATGACAATGAGACTCCGAAAAGTGGCGCAATGAGTGGCGCGTGCCGCATTATCGCAGATCGTCGTTTATAGGCACTGATTGGCTATCACATAGCTGCCACAACGCCACGCTTATGAAACCCTCTTGAAATTCCTGTGAACCCGAACGTGACCAAAGCACCACCTTCGCAGCTTTACAGACTTCCAGGCATCAACAACGAGAACCAGTTTAGTAAACATGGAGTAACCAAAAGGAACTAGGCGAAAGTATGAAATGCCCCTTAGCAAATGAACACCGCCCTCAAATTTATTCGAATATTTTGAATGGCAAGCGTAAAACTCACTCAGATTCGCCAAGTACAATATTTTCCAGCCGCCGTTGCTCGTAACTGCTCGAACACGTGGCCGAAATTGTTTGATGAGATAATGAGCCGAGTGCTTGAAGGGAATTTCTTCCATTTATCGACAATCCTCATCGCAGCTGCACCACTTAGCTCAGCTCCAGACAAATCCACCTCCTTCAATGCTTTATGGACCGTCGGTGACAGGGCATCAACGATTGCATGGCAGCCTTGATCTCGACATAAGCAGTCTCCAAGATTGAGTACTTCTAACTTAGGAAGGGAGGGCAAGGTCTGAAGTTAAGCTTTTACATTCAATCCCGTGAAACAGCAAGTATTATTAATCAGCAGTTTCACCTCGGCTATTGCAGCGCTGCCAAGTTGAGTAGCAGTATTGTCGTTCAAATTGATTACGCGAAGGTTTGGATTTGCCTTGAAACACGCTGCCAGTGCTTCAACTCCCTTTGCCGTAATTCCATTTTGTGGTACAGCAAACTCTTCCAGAGAGCCAATCTTCTGAAAAATCGCAAAAAAATGGGCCTAGAAACGATCTTGGTGACAAAGTACTTGAAAGCTTAGAGCAGAAAACCATTCATAAGAGTGGAACGAAGGGGATAAACTCACAGTAAACGCTTCGGCAAGAGCCACTGCGCCAGGAACCTCGAGACGATTTCGACCAGCGATGAATGTTTTCAATTTCAACCGCCTTTTAGCCAGACTGGAGCGAACGAAGCAATCTGACAGACATTTTGCAATCACCTAAAACTCACTTATTTGTTTTTTGACAACCGATTCTTCCTTAGAAAAGACATTACAAAATCATTTTATCGACTCGAAAGCAATACGCAATAGACAAAGCGTGGAGAAAACCGAGAAGACCCACGTCTCTTGCCGGCGACAACAACACTCAGAAAGCAGCGTTACTTCGCGATGACGCGCGTCGACGCGCTACCACTGCAAGAAAGCCCCATTGCCTGAGACGGGAACGCAAGCGCAGACGGGAATCGTCAGCGCCGGCCACTTGCGTTTTGAAAGAGTGTGGGATGAGGGAGTGGTGGGCGCTCCCTTCACAATCCTTGTAGCCTCCTATTCCTCTGTACTCTCCCAAAGCACTAGCGCACAATGCCGATCGATACCAGAGTGCGCGATCAGGCAAAGCGTAGCCTCCTATTCCCCCACACTCTTTTAAAACACTAGCGGCCGACGTTGGTCGATTTTCGTCTGCTTCGCACCGAGGCGCCGTTGCAACTGTAGGTCCTCGACGCGCGTCCTCGCAATGTCTGAACGCTACAGAAAATCTTTGGCGCGCCAAACAGACAAGCGTACTTACTACACTGAGATCACCAGCACCTCCGTTCCACGAATTAAGATTGCGCACTGGCCACCGAGACCACCCACACGAGGAGAATTGGCGTAGATCTTGTCTGTGGTGAACAGGGCCCCGAGCAATTCACCATTATTTCCATCTTCTGTTCGTGTTCGAAAAACGGACATGGGAACCACTCGACCTTCTGCCGTTGGGATATGTTCGCAAAGTAGGACCCCCAAGAAGTTCCACCTCTGTGTTATCCCTCCACCATCCCCGTCCCCATGTTACCTCCCGTCTCCGTTGATTTTTCAAAGTTTCTACCACTTTTCCGGGGTTTTCCGAAAAATTCCTTCAGTTTTTCTTCAGAAAAAAAATCTGCAGCCGAGCGAGTGCGGCTGGGGAGGGGGAGGGGGGAAAAGGTAGAGCGTAGAGCGTACTAGAAAAAGGAAAGCCGTGAAAAGTTAGCAACCGATTTTTTTGGCAAGTACGACCCCATCCCTCCAGCGACCAAATACGAGTCCCTCCTCGGGGATACTCAATGTAGGACATGCCCTGTGCTCGACACCCCCGATAGGGCAGCTAAGCAAATCTGTCGTCAATTTCACCAAGGAGATCGTAGCGTCCGAAGAAAGAAACTTCTCATGCAATTACAGTCTTTATGGAGGT